GTTGAATCTGACGTGACATGTTCGTATGAACCCTTCATTCAAACAAAAGTAAGAGAAATTTAGGATCAGAATACGAACATGTTCTTGCATGAGGCCCATTGTTCTAACAAACATCAGTGACAAGAAGGTGAGCATTTACAGAGTGACAAATACCGATATCTCTTGAGAAAAACCCCTTTGAAGATGGCGTCCATCATGCTCTCCATTTCTGCTCGCTTTTCCTGCAACTTTTAAAGTCAGTTTTAAAAGAAAGCCTCACTCACACAGAAAACACACACGTGATCCACCACATCTTAAAGTYCCAGGTGATATTAGACTCTTACGTCGGTGAGCTTCTTCTGAATTCTCTCCAGCTGCTGGGAGCTCTTCAGTCTGGAGCTCTTGGTCCTCTGCACCTCGTACAGTTTCTGACTGTTTTCAACGCCAGCACTCAGGCTCAGAGCCACGGCCACCAGAGAGCTCAGCATCTTCACCGCTGAAACGGTCAGGAGAAAATATTAGTTTTGCGCCGCACACATGCGACACGCGCGCTCGCGTCGTTCTCCTACCTGCCAGCGTGCAGGTGTGACGGAAAGCTCGCACGTACGAGTCCGACAGCTCGGCGAGCAGCGAGATGAGGCTGCTCATCAGGTAGCCGTCGAAGAGGACGCTGCGCTGACACTGAGCCACCAGCACCGACACGAAGTCGCAGAGCTCCGAGTGAAACCAGCGGGCGGGTGGTCCGGACTGCACGAGGGGATACTCTGCGCTGTCCTGCAGGGGAGAGGGAGACGTGCAGTGAGATCTGAAAACACCAGCAGAGTTTACTCCTGATGGTGTGATGGAGTATGCAGAGTACAACTACACATCTACTTTGATAAACAGCGTGTTTGAGTCATCAGCAACCTGTTTAGATGAGAGTTTTTCTGCCGAATCCAAACACAAATTTAGATTCAATTCAAAAAAATGTTTTCATTTCACTAAAAAATAACTATATACAATAAAAAGCAAAAAAAATACCCAAATAAAAAAAACATCAACATAAAATGAAAGGTAGCAGAAGAATAAATCTTATAATATCTGCCCCTTTTATACCCAGAATATATTCAAACTAGGGCTGTGAAATTAATCAAGTTAACTCATATTGATTAATTTTAGTGCTGGGCAGAAATTAAAAAATTTAATCCCAATTAATCTAACTTTTTTCTTTTTTTTTTAACAAACAATCACTTCACTATGGCTGAATATTTAGGTTTGTATATTACAATGCACTCAGTGCCTGTCAGGTCATGTTTGTAAATGAGAAGTGGTTCTCAAACAGTTTACC